CAAAGATTTATTTGAAAATATAGTAAAAAAGGGTCTACTTTTTGTTTTCAAATGTGTGTAATTTTCTAGCCTTTGGTAAATAAATATGTGGATAATTTATTTAGAGAAACAAAGTATGCAAAAGTATTCAGGGGAAAAATATGACTATAAAGTATAATAAGTAGACTTATTTTGGGATTTTGAAGAAAAAAACTATAAATCTTTTTTTTTTTTTAAACTAAGTACTCTTTCCGTTTTAAAATGTAAATTGTTTTGGTTAAAATTGCGAATATTAAGAAATTATTTTTTTTTCTAAAAAGTATCATCTTATATATATAATAAAAATAATTTAACCAATAAAAAAACGACGAAAAAATACTATTAGTAACACAATAGTCAATAAAGTTAAAAAGTACCTATGATTATCAAAATAATAAAATAATTTATATTTTGAAACATAAATTTTTTCTAAAATAACTTATATTTTAAAACGGAGAGAGTATAAATCTTGACCAATGTCTTTAATGTATAGAACGATATTAACTGCATAAATAACTAGTCACGAATTAACATTCTTAGATTGGTAGAAGATTTATTTTTTGAAATTTAAATCTAAAGCATACTGCTAATTAATTTTGACGACGACTTGTAAGCTATTTAGTTTGTAGTTTGAATAAATTTAAGGAATTTTATTTTGTTAAATGGTTAATATAGAAAACTTAAATTTTTTAGGAAGTTTAGGGAAAATCTTATCGGACCAAATTCAGTAAAAGAACAAATCAATACAATTTGACCAACCTAAGAACTAAATAAATGCTCATAAATTCAGAATCTTGGAACAAAAGGAACTATCAAAAAGACCAACTTACAACTACAAAGTGCACTACAAACGTTCTTAAATCTCAATAAATAGAGATTATAAGAATTATTCTATAGAAAAACAATTTAAAATCAACCACCACTTCTGCAATGTCCTCTTCCTCCACCGTCAGCACTAGCGACGGCGACAATAACCAATTGGAGCGGCGGAGTTACACGTGTCATGAATGTGACATCATCATTACGATTCTCTCGTCATCTTCCTCTTCTCATCCATATTGTCCTCAATGTAATCTCATTTCTTCCAAGAAGACGAGACATCTCAAATTTCAATTCCGACCGTTGAGATCTCATCTTCAATGTTGTGTTCTTCTTCTTTCTTCAGAAGATTCGACTTTACCATGCGCCACATGTAGAGAAGATTTCGTGGTTGGAGAATATGCTCGTAAATTGCCATGCAACCATTTATACCATTGTGATTGTATTGTTCCGTGGCTAACAAGTCACAACTCGTGTCCTCTCTGTCGATTTGAGCTCCCGGTTGCAGCTAGTGGAGACGACGTTGGTTTGACTATGTGGTTCGATTTCGATGTGTTAGCCCTAGAAGACGACTCGGAGGAAGATATAGGCGTCACACTCGATAATTTGTACCTAAGTTTTGACGGCTAAATTTAAATTGTAGGGTCTAATGGATTGTGTACGTTTTAGAACATTTTTAAATCTTCATGGAGTTACCTAGTGTTAAAATGAATTTTCAGAGATGTACCTTCTTGAGATAATTAATTTATACTACTATATGATGAGTTTTTTCTTCACATAGCATGAAAAAGAAAATGCTACTACAAGAGTCTATTAAGTAGCCCACATGTTAGTAGAGAACCAATTATTTTGTTAAGAAAGGCAAAATTTCTAAATGATTAATTATTTTCTCATAAAAAACAGAAATTTACTTAAACATCACATTGGACATGTACAATATTGAATGAAAACTGAATTAGTGAACTCCACTCTCTCTAAATATTTAAATCGATATGGATGATATGATTTCTAATTCATGGCATATAATATACATAGATTTATTTTTCAACATTCGCATAGAACAAGTCTCCTAGTCCGCGTAATGGCATTAAATTATGACTACAAAGATTTTTCCCCAAAATTTATGTTATTCACCTGATTAAAAAATAATAATAATACAGCTATTTATTATCTGCACAAATATCGAATCTATAATATTTATATAACCAAACGCGCCAAAACGAAATATGGTTTTCATTTATAGATGGATTTAAATAAGTTTGACTTCTAATTAAATCGATTGACATTAATATAAATAGAATAACTAATCAATTTTGAAAACTAATATGACCTCTCCCTATGATCATAAGCTATATTAATTAATCAAAGTCAAAACCACCAACTAGTGGTATTGTGTACTAAATAAACGCAAAATCTTCACACTTAGGCCAAAGCAGCAAAGCTACATAGGTGGAGGTGGTACATTTCAAGAGATTGTTTTTGTCTAAAATTCTATGTAATTTTAATTTTGTAGAGCTGATAAGCAAATATATGTTTTTAACTTGTTGTAACGAGCTAGAAATATAAAATGCATTTCCATGGGTAACTTTTTCTAATACATCTCGACATAATCCGAATTCCAATCGGACTCTCAATATATATAAAAAAAATGAAATAAAAATAATCACAAGTTACGTATAGTTACAATAGAAAGTCAACTGAGGTTAAATCCATCCTGTCGCTCTTGTTTGCTTCTTTGGCAAAACAAAAGTCAACTAATATTTTATGTAGTTGCAACTTTAATCTTTTATTATTTATTGGAGGTAATATATGTATGATATTTATTTGTTGGTAATATATTTCTTTCGTGCGTCTGCATCTCTGTATAAATGTTTATATAATTGATTAATTAGAAAAAATAAACCAAGAAGAGAACAATTGTTTTGTTTGTTTTCTAAGCACACCATTACATATATCTGCGTCGACACCTCAGACATGTGTAGATGAATGAGCTCATGTATATATATATATGTAAGTGTCCAAATACGTATAGAGATAAAAAAAACAAAAATTAATGAAATAGAGATTACAAAGTATCTAAGTGGGTTTAGTTTATTGGTTAGAAGGTATTTGTCTTGGTTTTTCATCAGATAAATAAGATGATGTGAAAATAATGCTTTATATAAGATAAATAAAGCATCATCTCGACAAAAAAAAAAAAAAAAGCATCATCAAACCGAAGCAAATTAAACTAAAAAGTAGGATTGGAATTACATAGGTCGGTTTTCAAGTGAGAGTTGCCTGAGTCAGATTTTGACCCCACAAACTAAAGAAATCAATATCAAAATTGCATAAGATTTTGATTTCCATCAACTAATATTGTTACAAGTTAAGTCATAGTTGAATTCCACACACGATATCATAAGCCAAATTAAACGAATATATCAAATATCATTTGAACATGTAGACACGAATATCATATGTTATACAAGAATGACACTTGTGAACATTTATATTAAACAGAAACATCATCATAATTAATTAGTTTTTTACAGAAACTATAAGGAAAAAGAAAACAAATACCAAAACCCGAAAAGAACAAACATGCCGACAATTAACAGTTT